CTTTAACTTGATTTCTATTTTGGGTAACGTACTTTCAAAACTTTCATTTTGGTACATAAGATGTAAAGTTTTAAACATTTAAGTACCAGAATAACTGGTTGAAACATTAACCAGTTATCATGCTGATGTGGTATCCAACTCAGTAGTGACATGAATTTTTTTTAATCTAAAATTAGTCTTCAACCGGTACCCGGGTACTTAAATGTTTAAAATTTTACATTTTATGTACCAAAATGAAAGTTTTGAAAGTACGTTACCCAAAATATGAATCAAGTTAAAGTACGTTATTTTTTCATGCAATTTACTTTCAGACGTACGAGGAAATGAAATGAAAGAAATTAAAATATTTGAATAGATTATTAAAACTACCAACCGTTCATTATAAATGACATATTTTTAAAGAGTGTATTTGTAAAAAGGGCAAATTGCAAGAAAAAATAACATACTTTAACTTGATTCTTATTTTGAGTAACGTACTTTCAAAACTTTCAGTTCCATACCTAATACGTAAAACTTTAAACATTTAAGTATCTGGGTAACCGGTTGAAGCATTAATGGTTACCATAAAATAACATATATATAAAAACTAATTTTGGATTAAAATATCTATGTCAACAAAGACGCATCAGCATGGTAACCGGTTAATGCTTCAACCGGTTACTCGGGTACTTAAATATTTAAAATTTTACATTTTACTATTTTGGATACCAAAATAAAAGTTTTGAAGTACGTTACCCAAAATATGAATCAATTTAAAATACGTTACTTTTTAAAGCAATTTAAGCTTATTAAAACTACCAATCTTTCATTATAAATGACATATTTTTAAAGAGTATATTTATAAAAATGACTTATTTCCATTCTTTTCGTTTTTATTTAAAAACATAATATATATATATTTTTTGATAAAATAAATAAATAAATAAATTTTCCCCTTTTATTTATTCTCTTCAAATTCGATAGAGAGAGTAAATAAAAATTTACCCGATTTACCGAGTGGTACATGTAAATGTGGATTCAAGTGGGGCTCGAAATCTGAATTTTGGTTGGGACCATTTTATCGATTTTCAATTTTTACAGACAAAAATCTTGGTATAAACATTATTGCATTGTTTGCTATAAAGTAAAAAATATATATATAAAAAGACGTGTTTTTATTTGGAAATTTTTAATTTTTTTAAATTCTTTTAATAAATAAATTAATGGAAATAGTAATTTTTAGATATTTAATTTATCTTTTAACCATTTTTCTGTGCAACTTTCAAAAATATTATTATCTGGACAAAGTGACACCTCAGTGACATGTGGATGAGCTAAAAGATAATAAAAAAAACCACTTTTTTTTTTTACCTACTTGTGGATATGGTTGGCAATGGGTAACGGTAAATCCATCATTTGTTATGTTTCGACCCGTTGGATAAGGGTATGGGTAAAAAAAATCTTATCCATTTATCTGTTATCCGAAATTTTGATTAGTAGGGTATAGATAAACGGTTTTTCCTTATCTATTACTTGTTACCAGTTACAAATTGTATTATTTATATATATATATATATATATATATATATGAAGTTAGAGTTGGGATCATGTGAGACCAAGGGTTTTTTCGTGAGACCCGTAAAACCAATTCTCAACCGTTAGATTAGATCTACAAGCTGAACATTCATAATCACAAAATTGCCACGAGACTTTTCAATAATCACAAAATTGTCACCGTACAACTTTAGACCATTAGATCATAAAGTTGATCAATGAACATATATTGGTCTTACGGATCTCACGAAAAACTTTTGGTCCCACGTGAATCCAACCCTATGAACCCGTAAGACCAATTTATGTTCATTGATCAACTTTATGATCTAATGGTCTAAAGTTGTATGGTGACAATTTTGCTGTTGGAGATACTCTCAGTTGGCAAAAAGGCAAAACAATTTTGCCTAAATACAAGATAGGTCCGCATTTGATCATGGGCCCTTGCTAGCCTCAATCATTAAGCGAGCCAAAAAATGTCATCTCATATTGGTGGAAACGGGTTTTGTATATGACTGATTGTTAGTAACCAGTTTTTTTTACCTAAATGAGTATTTGTGAAAAAACAAATGATGTTAACTTTTATAAGTGTATAATTTATTTAAATGTGTTTAAGATGAAAGCTTAAATGGATAGATGATTCTTAAACAAACAAAATAACAAGTTTAGTGATTTTTTGTAAATTTATTTTTATTACACAAATATTTGAAACATTGATAAGGAACAATTTTTTAAAGTATAATGAATCGCTGTAGGTAGGGGTGCTTATGGATTGAATTGATCGGGTTGAAGACATTTGAGCAATTCAACCAAATGCTTGCGATTTGAAAAATCTTAACCCAACCCAACCCAACCCAAACCGTACGAGTTGGTCGGGTTGATACTTTGGTACATTAAAATATTATTCTAACCTTAAATGTGTCATTTCTTTACTCAAAATTTATTTTTTATCATCAACCAATTGATATGACTTATTCATACTTCTTAAATCTTGTGTATATCACATTCAATTAATTTGCTCAATTTACATATATATATATGTTCACAGTTACTGAACATATATACAAATGAATTATATAGAGATGAATAATAGATTGGAAATATGTGTATATGAAGAGGGTAAGTGATAGTGTAATTGTCTAATGTATATATTAATAGAAAATCAACAATCATATTAAATTCAAGAAATACACCGATACTGGGTTCATCGGGTTAGGTTGGGTTCAAATAATAGTAATACATTCTCAACTCATTACACACGGTTTGAAAATTTTACAACTCGACTAGACATCGAGTTACTTCAGGTTGAGTTATTTTGTGTTGAGTTGATCAGGTTTTTGAGCACCTCTAGCTGTAGATATGAAATAGAAGATTGATCGCTGTCTAATAAAACTAAGTTTGCTCCAAATTTGGTGTTGAATATCTGATTATTAAAACATCATTCCTGAAAAGAAAATGAACCACATGTCAAACTTATCTCGTATGGGTTTTTTGGCCATTTGGGTCGTTTCAGGCTTCATAATTGTGTTTTTATATATCATAGAACTTTACGTCATTTATTTTAATCTGGGATAGTTTTGTCTTCGATCTGGGTTGTAAGTTGCTCTGTGGTTTTATTCTTCATCTGTGTAAACACCCTCAAGGTGCTATAAATGTCTATAGTTTCTTGTTATCAATAAAACTATAAACGTTTATCTATTTTCTGTTTGAGTTTACTGCTAGCAGATTCTATAATCCCTGTGTTTCTTAAAACATCAGTTTTAAAACCAGTATTGAAAATAAATTATAACACACAAACCTGTAAGCGAACTTCTAACCAAAATGACCATCTTTATAATGCACAAATACGTTATTTTTACCTCAATCCCAATTAAATTTTTATAAACTGATATAAAAACCGAATAAATTCTTTAAATTAGTTCATCTGATCCGAACGAGGATGGGAATTTCCAGTTAAAACGGGTCCTGGGACTGAGGATCCTTAGTAGGCTCAAACCGGGTTTGGGGCCGGTATCCCCAACCCGTGCCCGTACCCGGTATATAATTTTATTAATATGTTTTATATAATATATGTATATATATTATTTATATTTATTTTCTAAAATTAGGTTTTGACTGGGGACGAAGATCCGGCTTTGACTGGGGTTTGACCAGAAAATAAACTGGGGACGAGATATTAATCCCCGTATCCGTCGGGGACTGGGGCTAGGGGCCATTCATAAAAACCAGGGCCAGGGCCGGGGATTAGAAAACTCTCCACATCCCCGCCCTGTTGCCATGCCTAGTGACAATTAAAGCAGCTAACATATGTATTTATCGTATTAATTAAGTTGCTATCAATTTAGTTGGTATCAGACATATTTGGCTGGTAATACCATATCAAATATACAAACTCGGTTGGTACACATTATTAGAAGTCGCGTACTACGATACGTACCAACTTATTTTTATATATTGATTTGATTAATTAATTATAAAACATATTTCTTGATTTTTAAGTTTTGTATTACCGACTTTTTATTTCCATATATGTGAATGCTTGCAGATTTTATTCCTTAGAATAAAAAACCATCAAACATAATTTGTGTTACTCGAAAACTTAAAAACGTCACTTAAAACTTGAACGAAATGACAAGTTAAACGAACCTTATTTTATGTTTGAGATCGTCTGGAACTCAATAATTATTAAGCTCGAACTCAAGTAAGAGGCTGTTTGACAGTTGCTGAATGGTTTTGTGCATAATCATTAAGTGGTCAGAATGATTAAGAAACTCTCATGATATATTGCAAAATGAAATATAATTGTTTGATAATTGTTTACAATAAAATTAGAGCTCTTAATGACTAAGGGAGACCCATGATACAAAATCATTTAGAGGGTTTTTGAATCATTAAGAGATAGATTTTTTTTTTGTCAAACAAGATTCATCTCTTAATGATTCAAAAATTGTCTCTTAATAAAACTATTAAGAAGTAAACAAACAAGCCCTAGGTTATAGGTTATTAAAAGATGAACCCATTTATACCAATGTAATGCCAATAACAAGATTTTTAGAAGATAAAATCACCTCCCAGTGACACACTTTTTCTCTCTCTACACTGTCCTGTTCAACCTCCCTCTCTCTCTCTATATATATAGATATAGATATATGTATGTATATATATATATATAGATATATGTATGTATATATACATATACATATACATATTTGGCCATATATTTTTTGTAAGCTATGAATTTTCTTGAATCTTTCCCTTCATTTCTTTATCTTTCTTCTTCACACAATGTGTCTTGTATACACAAACAAACCCTCATAAATCATCACATTCTTCTGTTTCTTCTCATAACTTGGCTTCAATTCATCACAAAATAGCTTCAATTTCTATACCACTCTTCATTTTAATCTCTAACCCTTCACTTGTTTTGTAAATTAATTTGTGGGTATTTATGTATACCAAGTGTTGGAACAATGGGAGATGATACCTGCAAGAAAACCAAGGTTTGTTTGACCAACAATGGAGCTTCCTTTGACCACCATTTTCTTCACCTATTTTCTTCAATTCCATTAACAAATTGACTTTGTTTTGATTGTGATTGAAGGTTTCATGGTCAAAAACAGTCACGAAATGGTTCAACTTCAAGAACAGAGCTGAGGATTTCCATGCAGATGAATTCAGCCATGGAGGTCATTTTCTTGATTTCTTTCATGGGTTTTTATCTAAATTAGGGTTCTAAATAATTTGGGGATTTTCTTATTTCTGGATCATTCAGTTTATATTTGGGTACAATTTGAGGCTATAAAAACAGCCATTAATGTCCCTTTTGCAGATCAAGATCTGTTACTTGTTTTTCTGTATGATCTTCGTTAGTTTTTGCTGGTTTTACATGATAATAATTCTCTTTTTAGGGGTGTGGCCCACACCATTTTTGTTGGATTATGTGTGGTGTTGAATCTTGATGCAATGCAGTGGGAATTCTACAGCTTTTTTTTTTAACAATTTATACTTTTCAGATAATGATTTATATGAAAGAGAAGGGTTCACCATCAACAGAAACAGAAGAAGAGGTGCATATTTCAGCTTTAGGACCACACAGCAACTTATATAGATATATATATATACACACACACACACACATATATATATATATATATAGATAGATAGAGGAAGGTTATGAGGAAAACCCTAAAAAAATAAAACTAAGGAATATCATGGTAACTGTAAACATACTAGTAATTGAAGTTGTTCCTTGGTTTCTATGCGCGTGCAAATGTTATGCATGTGTGTATACCAGACAAATTACTTATAAGTTACTTGTATGTATATGTGTGTGTTGTATATTTGAATGGTTATTAGGGTGTTTCTCAATTTTTTTCTTACGGTTTTCACCTGACCCATATATATATATATTGAGAGAGGACCTTCTTTTAAGAACTCTCTAAATAGTGAGATCTTTGAGAACCGGTGTATCACGTGCTATTTCATATGATTTTTTTCATTTATGGCTAGAATTTAATGTAGTGATTTAACATATATTTATTTCACAATCTGTTTGTTTCACATGTACTGGGTTCACAATTCAAAATGTAAACCTTTCTGACATGTTTGTGAAACAAAATATACATATAAAAAAGTTTCACATTGTGAATTGAATACATATGAAACAAATATATGTTAATGAATACATTAAATACTTTACTTCAATGGAAAAAATTATGTGAAAACAAAACCTTAAGATAGAAGCTCTCATTAATCTCACGAATTTTTAGACTTCTCACATGATTAAACCCTTTATATAATATATATATATATATATATATATATATATATATATATATATAGTCACCACCTGAAGTGGTTGAAAAAGACAAGGCTTTACCCCTCTTTTGTTTTACATTTATGTCCTCTTGATCTGCCACAAATCTCACTGTGTTATTGAAACAGAGAGATCAAGCAAGAAGTATGCTAGTCAAGTGATGGATGTCAATGATTATAGGTTTGATTCACATGTGATTTCATAGCCAATTTACACAATTTTCATTGATTAAAATTGCTGAATGATTATAGGTTTGATTCACATGTGATTTTTATGTTTTTTTATTGGGGTTTTTTTTTAAATGTTGCAATAGGGTCTTTGTAGCTACATGGAATGTGGCTGGGAAATCACCAACAAGTTCTTTAAATCTTGAAGATTGGTTGCATACCTCACCTCCTGCTGACATTTATATTCTTGGGTGGGTTTATTTGGTATATTGAATCTCGCAATGTTGAGAACCCGGAAATCAACTGTTTTCATGTTTTATTCATTGTGAATAATCCTGAATAATGAAACTATTCATGATGAATACGAACATTATTCATTATGAATATACATGATATTCATGACAAAAATGCACAGCATCAATATAATGAATAATGAAAATGCATGATATTCATGATTATTCATAGTTAATTTATCATCATAATAAATGAAAGAGTTGGTTTCCCGGTTCTCAGTATATTTATGGTTCTCATTTGAATCTTGATCGTATAAATCATGTGAATATCGACATCCTTTATGAAACCAGGTTTCAAGAAATCGTCCCTCTAAATGCCGGAAACGTGTTGGGCACAGAAGACAACGGTCCAGCTAAAAAATGGCTAGAACTCATTCGGAGAACGCTCAACAGTCTTCCTGGGACAAGTGCTCGAAATCCAACTGATTCAGATTTCGAAGGATCGATAATAGAAACGAACCCATCTTTCTTGAACCGACACGCTTTCCAGTCACTGAGCCGTAGCATGAGGATAATTGAGCATGACGTGCAGCAGCCGGGGCTCGACCGCAGATACAGTGTCTCTGATCGGATCATGTTCAGAAATCGAACCAACGGTTATGACCCAAATCTTAGATCTTCAGATGAAGATAACGGGCCAGATGATTCACCCGATAGCGTACCTTATTGTGATAAACGGGCAGGGAACTCTAGGTACTGTTTGGTCGCGAGTAAGCAAATGGTCGGAATATATCTTACGGTTTGGGTAAAGAGTGATCTTAGAGACAATACTCGGAATATGAAAGTGTCATGTGTCGGTAGAGGATTAATGGGTTACCTCGGAAATAAGGTAAGAATTCCCCAAATGGTACATATAGGGTGCGTTTGGTACACTGAACAAGACAGATTAAGGATTATTGTTCCATGTTTGGCAGGACTTTTATATGGAACAAGGTGATACCAAACGCACTCATAACGTTTCAAAGCCCAGAGTAGCATGCCGACCCAATAACTTCCGAACCAGATTAACGATGGTGGAAGTTATTGATGGGACGGGTTGTTATAGTACAATTTTGAGAAATATTAATTAACGTTACCGAAATGATTTCAGGGTTCGATTTCGATTAGCATGTCGTTGCACCAAACGAGCTTTTGTTTCATCTGCTGTCACTTGACTTCGGGTCAAAAGGAAGGTGACGAGCTGAGAAGAAACGCTGATGTGATGGAAATCCTGCGCAAAACATGGTTTCCGAGAGTTGAAGGAACGAGAGACGAGAAATCACCTCAAACGATTCTCGAGCATGAGTAAGGCCAAGTTCTTAGTATTTCGAATTTGATCGTGTTCAAGATTTTGATGCTAAAGTTGTGTTTGCTTGAGTATAGTCGAATAATATGGCTCGGCGACTTAAATTACCGGATTGCCCTTTCTGCCCGCTCCGCAAAAGCTCTTGTTGAGGCACGCAATTGGAGGGCATTGTTGGAAAATGACCAGGTAAGTCGTGGTTATACTCAATGTATACTCGTGTCTTATTGGTGTTTTTGGTATTCAGACATGGACAAAACAGAAACATCTTTTCAGTGTTTGGTGAGACAGAACTAGACAGGATAAAATGACCAATTTATCCCTAATGAGTGATTCTTATTCTTTTCTATTCCACATAAAAGCACTGTCAAACATAGAACAGTGATTCTTATTCTTTTCTGTCAAGTGTACCAAATGCACCCTGTTATTCGATCCTTAAACTCTAAACTCTAAACCCTAATCGTCAAAAAGTGTTTACAGCTTCGTATTGAGAAGAGGAGCGGACGTGTATTCGAAGGATGGAATGAAGGGAGAATATATTTCCCTCCCACATACAAGTATTCGAATAATTCCGATATATATGCATGCAACGATATGCACCCTAAAGAAAAGAAACGAACTCCGGCATGGTAAATCATTCTTTCTTGCAAACTGTAGTTGTTCTTTTTGGCGTTTTTCCGGAATCATGGGCACGTTTGCAACAAAAAACCAAGTACGGTCACTCAACATAGTTGATGAGGAGTAAATTGCATGAAAATACAACGTACTTTAGTCTGATTCCTATTTTGTGTAACGTATTTTCAAAACCTTCCATTTTGATACCTCATGATATGTGACATCTCAGACATTTAAATATGTGGTAAATAGCCAAGATTTCGCAAGTAACAAGTTGAAAAATCCATTTTTTTTAATATAATATTCATAAAATAACAATTTTGCAAGTTGTTAAAGTGCTACTTGTGAAATGTTCGCATGGAACTGCCACTTATGCAACTTGCTAAAGTTGTTAAAATGATATTTTCCCAACTTGCCAAAGTGTTACTCGCCAAATCAGCATTTTGCAAGTACCACTTTACCAACTTGCTAAAAGATTACTTTATGAATATGAAATCATAAAAAAGTAAATTTTGCATGTTGTTAAAATGTTGCTTGCGAAATGTTGGCTATTTTCGTCAATTGGGTAGGAAAACGGCTACAAAATGAATTGGGCGAGTCCAAAATTGCTATTTTAAACAGTTTATTCTCATTGTATAAAATAGAAATCAGAGGCGGAATAAGCCTCTCTACTCAGAAGCAGATCCAAGAATTTTTGGGTATGGTATCGTAAAATAATTATCGTAATATAAACTAATTATAAATTTATTGTACGGACAATGTTTTAGGCTATTTTGGGTCCATTAAAAAATACATCAAGTATTTAAGTCGTTAAAATTTTGATCCACTAGTTTATTTAAAAAAAAAAATCATGTTACTAACCACGTCAGCAAATAATACTGAGATAATACATCACTCAGCACATCAACATGATAACCGATTAATGCTTCAACCAGTTACCCGGATACTTAAATGTTTAAAATTTTACGTCTTAGATACCAAAATGAAAGTTTGGAAAGTACGTTACCCAAAATAGGAATCAAATTAAAGTGCGTTAATTTTTTCCATACAATTTGCCCTCTAAAAATTAACTCTAAATGAATAACCCTAAAGTCTGCAACGGAGGATAAGTATATTCAAAATAACTGTATAAAGTTGGTTAACGTGTTATCACGTTAACATTATTACATCAGTATAAACAAAACAACGCTAACCAAAAAGATGCTAATAAAAATTTGTATTCATGTTAAATTGTATTAAATGATAATGAAATATTACATTTATCATACGTGCGTTACATTGTTTCGTTGTATTAACGTTACATATATCCAATATTGGACTCGAAGGTATTGACCAGACCTTTGTAACGGTGTAATTTGTAAGAAAAAATATGTATTTTTAACTAATAATTAATTAATATGACACGGGTATAAAATGAAAAATGAAAAATGAAAAAAAAAGTAAATTGAAAACGTTAAATTTTATTTATAAATGTATTTTAACTAATAATTAATTAATATCCTCTAAGAGTTTTATTTATTAAATTTTCATATGAAGCCCCTAAACTTTTTGAAGTTTATGGTTTCACCCCGAAGAAATTTTATGGTTTCACATATGAAAACCTTTAACCCCCAAAATTTCATGGTTGCAACGGCAACCACAACCTAATAGGTGGACCCACCCCTGTCACTGCTTCATGTGGGATTTACTGGTTTCGTTTGAATTAGTCGTTTGTTGAATTATGAATCTTGTTGAGAAGTTATATTTGTTATGAAGGTGCGATCGTATCTTGTGGTATGGAAGAGGACTCCATCAAATGTGTTACGTTCGTGGGGAGTCGAGATTTTCGGATCATAGACCCGTTTATAGCATATTTATAGCAGAAGTCGAGTCTGTAAGCCGTTGCAAAATCAAGAAAAACGCAAGTTGTTCTTCACGGATCGAGGTCGAAGAGCTTTTGCCATATGTAAATAGATACTGAGTTGTAAGCTCTTGCTCTCTTTTCTCGTGCACCCACACGAGTTTTAGGTAACAATCATTTGAATTCCTGATGAAATCTGCTTTACAGTTTGGCATTTTCTAATAGGAATCGAAACGAGGAAGTCAAACCACTTGGATTGTGGCACCGGTGGAAATCTCATCGTCTTCGAGTTTGAATATTGACGCTGCCAAAGCCCTTGTAACCGTCGAGGTTCACCTGCGATAACTCTAGACTCCAGATCGTTCATGGTCGCCTGAGGGATTAGTAGATGCGCACAAGAAATTGTAAGCAAGAAATTCACTTTAGAAATCAAGAAACCATTTTCTAGCCACATGTTTATCGTCGTTTCGTGCATTTGATCCAGGTTCGATGATTATGACCAACGAGTTTGTGGGCACGTGTCGTGAATCCGAAACAAAGGTTGGCCCTTTGGTATTCTTTATGAGTTATTCACTTCTTGGAGTGTCAGGTCGGCTGGACTAAGCCATCTACGGTCCGTTTGGTTTGCGGGATTTGGAATTCGATTTTGTTCCAATCCTACATTCCGCTTGAAAGGCTGGTATGGAATCGAAATCTCTGAAATCCCACAAGCATTGGATTTGGAAATTCAATGGGGTTATATCACGGGATTTCACAAGGTTTGTTTGTAATATTCTTTTTGAATATGTTAAAAACATCTGTTTTATAGTAATCAATTAATAAAAAATAATTCAAGTATAATTTATTTATAACTTCATTCAATTTCAGTTCGAATCTTACAAACCAAATATTTTAAATCCGTTCAATTCCAAATCATTCTATTAAATACAAATTTCTCAAAAACATACTGTCAGACCAAACGGGTCCTTATACCATTTATTCTCGATATATGTTGGAACATTCTTATCTGTCCAATAACTGGTTTACGGATTAATTTGTGTTAGTTTTCCTTGAATTTTATCGGGGTTTTTTTTTTGGTGAATTTTGCAGGTTGATATCACATTTGTCTTGGAAAATGAAGGTGGTTCGGATATAATTAACCAAATATAATTAACCAAAACAACCTTCGATATGTAGCTCAGGTGGCAAAAGGATAAGACAATTTTACTCAAATACAAGACAGGTCATGGGTTCTATCCCGGGCCTCTGCTAGACTCAGCCGTTGAACGAGCCAAGAAATGCCCCTTCACATTAGTGTCACCGGAGGCGGGTTCTGTGTGGGGTCGGAGTTGTAGATAATCTAATTTTTTTGACATTGTGTAAATTGATAGAGAGAATAGGGGTAATAAAGTCATTTTGTAAGATGAGGCTTTGCTTTTTTGACAGAAAATGTCTGTTTTTACTGAAAGAAGTAAAGGATTGAGAGCTAACATTGATTGCAATAATGATTTGTAAATTATGCTTTAAAACTTGTACCGTTTATAATAAATATATTGTGATGTGAATGTTGTACCACTTTATGTGTACGTGATTGTTTGTCTTTTCCTTTGAGTAAATTTATATCTTTTGTCCGTGTGGTTTGCAAACATCATAATATACTCGTCAGAACATATATTTATTTTATAATGTGTTCGTTTCATATGTATGCGGTTTATAATGTGACACCTTTTTATATGTAACTTTGGTTTCACAAAGATAACAACGTTTAGATATGATAAATTGCATGAAAATGTAACATATTTTAACTTAATTCTTATTTTGGATAATGTACTCTCAAAACTTATATCTTGGTATCTAAGATAAAATATTTTAAACATTTAATTACCCAGATAACCGGTTTAAGCATTAACCGGTTACCATGTTGTTGTGACGAGTGATGTCTTATCCAATTCAGTATTATTAATTATTATTCAATTCAAATTCATTCCACTATTTATCAAATCAACATGATAACCGGTTGAAGAATGACCATAAAACTGTGACAATTTTGATCAATTTTTATTTTATATAAAAAAGGTAAATTTGGATGTTGGGAGCTACAAGAATTGCTGAAAAAGCTTACTAGAACAGAAACCAAGAAAATAAAAGTGATGTGTGGTACCTTCTTATTATATTTTTATGCTTTTTTTTATTCCAAAATAATTGTTTTTCAAATATTATTTTTTTATAAAATGCGTATTTTTTACATTTAATATATGATAAAAAAAATCCTAATAGATCAATTCAGATGAAATATTTCATAGGTTATTATGATAAATAATCAAGAAAATTAATTAAAATAGTTATTTTTACTGTTTGTTTTTATTTATTAATTATTTTTTTACAAGGTTTAAGAAAATAGTCCTACGTTCGTAGATTTTTTTTCCAGACATGGATGTAAAATGTAATTTTTTTCGTATAGAGGTAGAAAGTGTAATTTTTTTTGTCTTTTAGCTGGGTATGCAACTGCAGACGTGGGTTTTGCATACCTATGATACAGAAACACTGTAATCAAATGATTTTTTAAAGTAAAACTTTATCTGTTGACTTTTTATTTACATGTATACAAACCAGATCTTTTGACTGGATCTCGAGAAAATTCAAAAGGTCGTATTCCGCAAAGTGTATGGTTTCGTTGTCTTTTTTGATGTCCCTTTCAGAGTTATGAGTTGTTCCATTCGTTGGATACTCGGTGGTAAAATAGAGTTGTTTGGCAATTGCTTAATGGTTTTATGCAGAATGATCAAGTAGTCAGAATGATTAAGATATAGTGTAAAATGAAATATAATTGTTTGGTAATTATTTACAATGAAAATAGGACGCTGAATAGTTAAGGGAGACCCGTAATACAAAATGATTCAGAAGGTTTTAGAACTATTAAGAGACAATGTTTTTTTTTTCTAAACAAGATTCAATTTTTAACGATTTAGAAATTGTCTCTTAATAGAACTATTATGAAGTAAATAAACAAATGCTTACTTTATTTGGGAATGGTTCTGCTGCTTGCAGAAACAGATGGCGTTTTTCATTTACATTTTTTTGATTTTTAATAAATTATTTATTTAAAAAAATATAATTTCTGAATAAATGGAAAAGTATATTCTTAAAAAGAATATTTCCCAATTTGTTATAATGGATTACTTTTACTTTATTATTTCTTTGTTTTCATATGATCTGCCATCTCAGAACCCTTGCTTCCATAATGCAGGATGCCACGTGTCGATGTTTTACAGACATTGATTCCCAGCCATCTTCTGATAGCAGACGTCATCACTCTTGTGGTGGGAAAGAAAGCGTGACGTCATTTTTAACCTGGTATTTCCCGGGGTAAACAAATTTCTTTAATTATAAAATAATTGGATAAATTATACGGAAAAAAACACCCTATTTTAACTTTATTTTTATTTTGAGTAATGCATTTTTAAAACTTTCATTTTGTTATCTAAGATCTAAAGTTGTAACTAATTGACCTTTTTATCAAGTGGTTCTCAACATTTTCATCAAGTCTTTATTTTTACCATTGAAGATGGTCTTAGTTTTTTACCTTGAACTTTATAAAATTTTATGTCAAAGACCTTCCAGCCTAGTGGTAAAGGCTTGAGTATGACATAGTCATGAACCCGAATTCGAGCCCTGGGAGGGGAGTGTTGACGACATTTAAGTGGGGCCATGTTTAGCCTCCAAATTTGCCGGGGTTTAGTCGGGCTTTGACCCGGACACCCTTACAAAAAAAAATACAAAACATGGGTTACTATTAGAGCATCTCCAACAATTTTCTTTAAAATAGGAAAAAGTGAGTTTTTTGTTCTCTAAAGTGCGTCAATCAATTTTGTTATATTGTTCTCTAAAATAGAAAATCATGGAGAAAACTCTAAGTATAGAAAATTTTCTAAAACTTGATGGTGGGAGAGAGAAATAATAAATTTATTCAATTTCATCAATGAGATTGAATTATTATTTTTTATAATTTCTTTTTAAAATGCATTGAGATGATAAATTATAAAATGTTATAATAATATAATTTATATTAAGATCTCTAAAATAGAAATCTGTTGGAGATAATTGTAATTTTTTTTAGACAATTAATGTTTTAGATTTCCATTTCAGAAAAATTGTAATCCCCCGGCCCCGGTCAAATCTCTAGCAATCCTCGGTCAAAACCCGGTAAAACCTCAGTCAGTCCCCATAAATTAATTTGATTCTACTGGGCATCCCCAGCCTCGGCCCCGGTTTGAGTCTACCGGGGATCCCCGACCCTGGCCCCCGGACCCGTTTTAGAGGGGAATCCCCATCCCCGTTCGGGTTGGATGAATCGGGTTCCACACCGGGTCGGGGCAATTCACCCACCGTTTTTCTGAGTACCATGTATTTTTTTCAACATCAATAATAATTACAAAGTCAATAAAAATATAAAAAAAACTAAAAAAAATGTCATTTCACGTCAATTTCAATGGAAAAAGCAAAGTTTTTACAATAACTTAAAAAATATGAGATAACAATTCTCTCAAATGGTGGTTCTTCTAATAATTCACTTTTTGTTTGGAGTGTTTAAAAAAACAGTTGGACCGCTCAAACCAAGTCAAACTGGACTGTTTTTGACGATTTAAATGCTCTGACTGTTCGGTCTGGTCTGAAAAATAGTCAAGCCACTTGGGTCTACACATGTCTAGTTTGGGGTTTAAACATTTTTTTGAGTGGTCTGGACCGAACCCACCGCCAAAAAGTACACATATATTAAATTATATTTTGTGTCATGTTATATGCTCAACTTTATGACACAATTAAATAATTCATAATTAAGTTTTTAGTTTTCATTTCGCAATTGACCACGTCATTTAAATTGTCAAAGTTCCGAATTCCCTCAAAAATCAAATCCAAAATCGCAAATACTTATTAAATGAATATTAATATATATTATCGTTTTCATTTTCATGGGGTTTTCTATGGGGTCTGGATAAATAAGCATTGTATCGAAAAGGAGGTGGTTAAGTGAGAGGTTTGACTTATTATATTGAGAGAAATAATAAGAGTATGAAGAAGTTGCCAGAAATGGAAAGAGTAAATGGGGGGCAGGCAAGACTCCAAAATAGGGAAAGATGAGAGATAGATGTGAAATTTGATGAGATAAGTCCTATAAAACTGCAATTATTCAGGCTGCCTTTCTTTCAAAAATCAATATGTTAAGCCACCACAACCCCTACATTTCTTCTCTTCTGCTTTTCCCTATATTTCTATACCTATTATATATATATATATATATATATATATATATGAAGTTTTTTAGTCTTTTTTACATATATAATAATTCATACAAAGAGTTGTGAGAGTAAAAGTGTTTGGATCAAAATGACGGGTTTAAGAGTTCTGAAAGTGGAAGTGTTTGAATCACTACAGTTTTATAGAGAATACTACAAGATTTATATATATATATATATATATATACTAGAAGAGTACTCGCGCAATGCAGCGAGATACATCGTGTTTTTAATATTTCATTTTATTCTTTATCTCAGTCGATGTTATAATATGACTTTATGTGAT